CTATTTTTGTAGTATAGTGGAGTAGAAAATATGAAGTAAGATAATATAAAGTGAAAACAGATAGAAATTCTGGAGGAAAGAACAAGTTCCAAGTTTTTGCATTAAAGTGTCTGTGACTGTATTTAGTTAATAACCTTCACTGGTGGAAGGACGTACAGCTGATGAGACGGGACTATTGGAATGCACTGCTCACACTGTGTCTCCACAGAAATGTGTATAAGGACTACCGTCAGCTGGAGCTTGCGTGTGAGAGTCAGGAAGACGTTGATGCCTGGAAAGCCTCCTTCCTCAGAGCCGGAGTTTATCCCGAAAGGGTCACGGTAAGATTTCATCTAAAGCACACGTGCACAGACAACACTGTGACGCAAACACTCTCACAAATGTGGAATTTTTTTCCAGTTCATATTATTTGTGTCCAGTAGTAGCTCAGGTGGTTGCTGTGATGTTTCCTTCTGCAGTCTCTTTTAATGTTATTGTGTTTCTCATTTGCCATCTGTCCTTTTCAATGTCTTTTATCTCTCATTGCTATTTGGCGTTGTAGGAGAAGGAAGGAAAGGTATGTTATTCTGGGTACTAGATCACTTTTTTGTGTTTTCTATGTAAAGCATGAACTGTACTTTTACTTAAATGGACCTGTACCTGAGTTGTGTAGCTGACAGTGATCAGTAAATGGATAGTTTAGCGTAATCATTAGGAGTAGATCTGTGAACCACTGATAGGGAATCACCTTGCTGGTGCAAAGATAGCATTTTATGCCTATCAAACTGTGTAAATTTGACTAAATAATCTTTTCTTAATAAATGCAGCACTGGTTCATCCTCTTGAGTTAGGTGAACTTGTTATGGCTTAACAAACAGAAAAAAATAATCCAGTGAAAGTGGTCAGTTAGGAGGACTGGACTGAAAATGAGTGAAAAGCCAATAAATGTCTAAGCCGTGTCCAATAGAAAGTGGGAAAGATCTTCAGAAAATCTGAAGAATTATTGCTCAAGACCATGTTAAAAAATTACTAGAAAGTTTGAATTCTTGGAAGCAAAATATAAAGAAATGAAGTGTCACTTAAGATTTTTATACACTATTGTATTTTCATCAACATTTAACTACACTGATGAATTGTGTGTTCAGATTGCGCTGTTCATCATTCAGCTGGTAATATATTTTCCTGGAGAAAACCTTTTCCTTCCTGTCATTCCTGAAGTGCTATCACCCTCTCTGTAATTCTGCTACACACACACATTTTTTTAAAAAAAAAAGCCCTAATTTGTCTCACAGAGTGATGCTGGTGATGAAAATGGTTCGGACAACCTCATGCACAGCATGGACCCTCAGCTGGAGCGGCAAGTGGAAACCATCCGCAACCTGGTTGACTCTTACATGGCAATCGTCAACAAGACCGTCCGTGACTTGATGCCGAAGACCATCATGCATCTCATGATCAACAATGTGAGTCATCAGCGAGCACTGCTGTTGTCTCGTATGTCATGCTGAGATGGCAGGACTTTGAGATTTGACAGACAGCGTGCTCTGTTTCTCTCCCTCTGCGTGCAGACTAAAGAGTTCATTAATGCTGAGCTGTTGGCCCAGCTGTACTCATGTGGTGACCAGAACAGCTTGATGGAGGAGTCTCAGGAGCAGGCCCAGCACCGTGACGAGATGCTGCGGATGTACCACGCTCTGCGGGAGGCTCTCAACATCATCGGCGACATCAGCACATCTACTGTAACCACCGCCATGCCACCACCCGTGGACGATTCCTGGCTTCAGGTGCAGCGTAGCGGATCTGGGGGACGGTAAGGCACATGAGACATCAGACTGTGGGACTGAGAGAGTACGTGTGGGAACAGGT